TTCAAGAGGAGCATGTTCATGTTCCACAGTCCTTCCAGGCTGGCTGTGCAGTGGGCACACGGAGCAGTTTTACCTGGAAGCAGCAACACTTGATTGAGAAGCACCCAGGTAAGTTGTGGTAGCACAGCAGAGGTTCTCAACTGGGGGTACTGTCACATTCAAAAAAGTGGACGGTGCCCTGATAGATCAGCTGTTCTCAGACTTTTCAGACCTAATTCAGTATAGAAGATCTGTGCTTGCATGAAAGATACCAGTGTTCTTCTAATGCCCAAGAATTCTGAACAAAACAAACTACAGCTAGTGAAATATATTTATATCAGATTTTAAAAACTGCAACTTGTGGTGGAAAGTTTATTTTAGCAAGAGCACAAAAAAAGAATACTAAAGCACTATGTGCAATGTACACTTACATAATCAATAATAATGAAACCACTTTACTTTCTGCCAAGATACTTTTTAACTTGTTGATATATACACTTGTAGGAAAAAGATAGGGGGAGATTTTATTTAAATTGTATTAAAATGCTGAAGCCTCCCAACCCTAAATCTGTTGTTAACTATATTGGCTATTGCATGCTCCCACTCTAACTACTTTTCTTAGACAATAATGTTTGTTGGAATTAGTTTGGAAAAGTAAGATGAAGGCTTCATGGTTTATATATTATCCATTCCAGAATCTACATATGATTATTTATCACAGTTGGCAGCTATTGCTTGGTCTTCACAAACTGGTGCTGAAAAAAGAAAGAGATCCAAAGAGCAGTCAGTAAAATGTGAAGTAGCTATTATGGAATAAATGTGGAACCACTGCTTACTTGGTGCAGTCAAATCATAAATGAATTGGGGTGTGGAAACATAGTCTCTATGGGCATAGGACCAATTTTTGTTGAAGTGCCCCTTACTCTTAATATTTTTGGGTGGTGGGGGAGGGGAATACATTAATTTATACTTGTTCTCTCCTTTAAAAAGGTGCTGAACACAAAGCACTCTACAGTCATTTTCAAGTACTATATTAGATGATCTAACCAATTTTTTGCAATATAAGCTTTTTGAGACCCATGTTGCTGCTGTTTTAACAGACGTAACATTTAAAGGGAAATACTGGCTCCTCACTGTGGGACAGACTATGTTCTCGCTGAAGTAGCTATCAACAGGATTAGTCAGGAAGCATAGTGTACTTTAGAATAACCATATCAGATCATGTTACAGTGTTCCTTAATTATATAGAGCTGTTATATAGAGCCGGTATTCTGGTCAGAATATCGAAAAGCTAGTTGTTAACATTTTGCCATTTGTAATTTTCTATATGATGGAGAGAACACATTTAAAGCTGTTAAAATCTGTGAAAAAGGATCTGTTTTCTATAATAAGAAAAGCATTATTGCAATATAGGTGAAAATATAATTACATTAATGGACAACTCAGGAATTAAATGTAATCCTGGCTGCATACCAGCACTTGTGACCTTTGCCAATGGTAGATGTTGCTTAGTGGCGATAAAGCTAAAATGCGTGTACCCAGGAAACCTTATGATGTGGGTGGGTATTCCTCCTGGACCTAGTAAGTACACCATATGTGATCTGCGCATTCCTGCTTCAGTAAATCAGATATGCATGATGAGTGTTGTTCTAGTAAGGTACAACACAAGTAAAGATGTATCAGTGAAAACTCTTACTTTAAAAATTCACTTTCCTTAACTAAAGTTGAATTTGAGAGAAGTGACTTATGCATTCTAAGAACTTTGTACTTATTCATGGAGAGGAATAAAAGAATGGCTGCACTGCTGGGAAAGGTGGTGAACTGTGCTACCGGTGGCTGATGATTACAATTCGACTCTGCATCAGACACATTGAAACAAGCCTGTTTTGTATTTGTCCATTTTAGAAGATTAAACAGTATTGTGTTGTATTTCCTGAAGTGCATCACGTTTTCATTTTGGAGGAAATTCTTTATTACTCTCTTGCTTTGACATTCCTGTGACATTTAAAGGCTTTCAGTAAGCCTAAATCTGGGAATGACATATGCACATCCACAGCTGATGGTTCATTTTATGATTTGGATCTTGCCAGATGTCCATGGTGCAAAGTCTGTGCAGTTATGATTTTGATCGTTTGATCCATTTAACTTTTACTACATGGTATTTTTGGCTTGTTTCTCTCCAATTCTCCTGCCCTTTAGGAAGTACAAGTTCTGCTGGATCTAAAGCTTCAGAATCTTTTTTTATTTGTGAACTCAAATGGAAAAATTAATAATGAGATTTGTGTAAGGTAATATGTGACCAAATTGATGACTTGTGCAACTGAATTAAAACACTTGCAGGAGAGACTGCAAAGCACATCTTTCAAAATGGTGATCTATGTTCATTTGAAAGGATGACTGAATTTTACATCTGAGATATCATTGCAAGCATTTAAAGGGAAAACACGTTCTTTCACTGAAATGATTGATACAAGTCTTGTGGAGCTTTTCCATCGGTATTGCCTGTTTGATAGTTACAGCAAATGGCTGAAAGTTCCAAATAACAAGAAATACACATGCAGTAACCTAGCATAGTTAAGTGATTCCAGAGAACTTTTGCACTTGTTACTTTTGGTAGGCCTAGCAGGTGTTCTTGTTGTTCAATTGCTAGTTTGGGTTTCTTAACAAAAAAAATTTGGGACGATAAGGAACAGCTGCTCCCTGTAGTTTGAAATCAAGTCGATCAGCTGGAGTAAGAAACATCTTGCTGGCTGAAATTAGCCATTGCGAAGCTTGTGTTTCCTCATCACCTCCAAGGTTACTTTTTTATGTGAGAGGCAACAATTTTTGTGGCTGCTGTATTTTATTGGGAGAAATAATTAGCTGTGTTAGTCTGCCTGAAGTCAGACAGAAGGCAAGGTCTATTTGCACCTTACAGACTAAAGTAAACCACCACTTACAAAAACCTTATGCATTTTGCTTTAATTAGTTTATAAAGTGCAAATCTACGCTGCCATCTTTTATTGGACCAACTGAATTTTCCTCGTGCCTGAAGAATAATGCTTTGCATTGAAAGCTTGCTCAAGTCTATCTAAAAAACACCATTGGTCCAATAAATGATAACACCCACAAGAATCCGTGCCTCACATATTTTGTGGACCATTGTGGTTACAATATCACTTCAACACTGTCACTTTTTAAATAATTTTCTTGAATTAGTCTTCAGCTAAAAAATGTGTTTGGGGGGAATTACCCAACTGCACCTGTATAAAATTACTTGGGGAAACACTTCAGAGGGTATAAAATAGATTTTTTTTTGGTTCCTTAAGGAAATATTCTGCACCTAATTGTAACCCATTGATCCACACTTTTTCTTGCATCTTGGCATAAGGATTAGGCGCTGTCTGCCCAAAAAGATAATGAGCTCTATAGGAGCATCTACTTCATCCCTCTTTAATTGGGTACGCAGTGCACTTGACAATTTGTAGTGTGGCAAGGTGAGACATGTATTGCAGAGATTCCTGAGAGTGTTAATACAGTATTTGTCCTGTCCCTTTCTGCCTCGCCCTCCCCGCCCCCAATCTCTGGATTTGGAGATTCCTTTTGAGAAGTGGTAGAAAATGCCTTTCCACATGAGCCATTCTGTCAAGGTAGGGACAGAGGGTTAGAGCTGGGGAAGAAGCTCAGTGTACAGATGGTGCTGATCTTCTGGTCTGTCTGAGAATTGATTCAGGGCAGGGAGCAAACTCAGACTTTTTATACTCCCTTCTGTTGGACTCTTCTGCATTGAGGAGTGATGAGGCAGTGGTTTGAGCACAGTTATAATTTATTGTGACTTTAATGGAGTTACTCCAGATTTGCAGTCAAGTAACAGAGCAGAATTTGACCCCATGTGCTCATGGATGACTACTTAACAGCTAAGTGGTTCCAAACACTGATGGATAGATGTATTGCAAATACATCTTGCTATTCTCTCTCCCTCTTCTATTCTTTGTCTTCTGTGCTTTCCTATTTTTTTTTCTTGTCATCCCCCACTCCCCAAATCATCCACATGTATATGTGCTTGTCTTCTGAAAAGAAAATGCTTCTTACTTTTTCCACAACTAAGGGGAGCTATGAGTTTTCTTTGGTTGACATTTCTCCATCCTCCTTGAGTCCCTATTGCCACTGCCTCCATGCGTCCTTATGGCCCCAGATGGATCTGATCCTAAAGGCAGGATAAACCTGAAGTCCCTCATCCAAGAAACTGGCAACCCAGCTTTCCTTCTTATGTCCTTGTGAGAAAGTATTTAGCAGAGTTTGCAGATTGACTGGAATGTGACAGGGCTATGCTGTGAATTCTTCTGCCATAGCGTCGAACTTGCGACCTCTGGACTGTCAACCATGCGCCTTAGCAGCCATACTGTCCCAGCCTCCAGCAAGCCTCAAGATAGAAACAGTGTGAGATTTTTTATTTTCCCTTTGTTTACCCACCATAGATTCTCTGCTAAAATAGCAAAAGAGTTGATTTTGAAAGCTAATAGGTTCATTTATACAACTAAGACTTTTAAAATGTCCTCAAAATACAATGGCGCTTTGGACTTGTGCTTCGATCCTGCAAAGCATAACTTATCTGAATGCCAGGTCCATACAGAACTCAGCTGAAGCTGCTGGGGCTTTAGTCTGACATGGCAGTCTAATATTACATTATAGGACTGGTACCTTAGTGTGTTACATAAGAAAATAATTGACCCTTGGGGGAAATACTTCATTTCTGAAATCCAGTGCTTTGGTTTTATGGCTTCCTAGAACCTTAAAGGTTTTTCTTTTTCTTTTCCTAAGAAGATGGTTATCTTCCTAATTAAATAATTGCCTAATTTAAAAAGCTAAGTATTTGATTAGACTAAAATGCTTTGTGTAATACTGAGAAGTAGAGATGTATGGTAGAGCTGTATATTCACCTTATTTTTATTTCTTTTTCTCTTTGTTGTCTTTCTTCATGTGGCTGGCGTATTGGCAATTCTCTTCACCCTTTTTGCTGATTTTTCCCTGCCGTCATCTAGAAAACCACCTAAGGTAAGCGTTTTAATCTTTCATTGTAGAAGTGTATTGACTTAAACATGTTAAACCTAGCAGAAAAGTCCAGTATATCCTCTAACTTTGTGTTTTGTATACCCCCATTAAAAGAAAATCTGATTGAAAAAAACTAGTTTCACATGCATTTTAATTAAAGGCTTTTCAAATCAAACAACCTATATTGCATGTTATATGGATTAAAATATAGAGAAAAATAAAATAATGCAATTTATCACAACTATGCTGAAAAGCTTTAATTCAATTTTAGGGGGTTCTTAAGAATCCGTTTGAAGGAGTTAATAAGTAGCCTTTGTAGAGTACATTATTGCAAATAATATGCCTTTTTAAAAATTAATATTTGATAACTTGGAAAAAAAAAAGGTAATAAAATGCTTTTGGTATACACTGTGCTGTCCTTTCTCCATGCCCTTTTGCCCATGTTTCCCATGCTTCCCTTGCCCCACACAGCCCTTCTGCCCTGCTCCCCCCGCTACCCTTCTTCCCTTGCTCTCCCTTGCACCATGCATCCTTTCCCTGTTCCCTCTTGTATTGTAACCCCTTCTGCCATACCCTTTCCCTGCACTCTCCTTGTTCCATATGTCCTTTCACTCATTGTCCTTTTCTGTGTGTTCCCAGCACTGTGGACAGTCTTTCTTGCTCCCTACCACACTTTGCACTCCCTTCCCCTCTGCTCCCTCCTGCTCCAGGTACTCCCTACCAGCCACATGGAGCCACAGCAGCTGCTTGCCTGGCCCATATTCAAATCTAAGACAAAGTTTTCCCCCTGTGCTGAAAAACCTTGACTTATATTTAAGTAAATACAGTATTTCCTACCTAGTGAGATTTGTCATTAATCTTTGTCACACTATAATGCAAAAACCTTACGTTGTGTGAAATGCTTAACTGTTGAGACAGAAGTTCTTGCTACTCCCAGTAGGAGCATGCTGTTGGGGCATGTAAAGAATATTCTGTAAGTTAGGTGTTTCTTGTTTCATTTGTTTTATGTGGTGCCACATTTAATCCACTTCAAATGAAGATTTTTTTAATGGAATTTTAAAGATATTAAGAGTAGTATTCATTCATTTGAAAATAGACCAGCTTCATTGGTCATCAGTCAAAGCACCTGACTTAATTCCAGCTTAATTATGTGTGGCTGAAATAAAACTATAAGCATATCAAGCATATTAAATTGTAACTGTTTCTAAAACCATGAACTCTTAGACCTGTCAGCTCTTAGTACATGACCAGTCTGAGGTTTTCAACTTAATTTTGTGACAAATGCAAAATGTTGTCTCAATTAAAATCCAACTTAAAACAGCCTAAAGTTCCCTCCACAGCTCTTGCCTACCTGAGGCCTTCTGTATTCTCTATAGACAGGGACATATCCAAATTGTGATTGTGCAGATTTCATGAAAATCATGAAATCAGGCAATCTGTGAAATCTGTGGGAGGAAAAGAAAAGTTACTAAAAATAAAATTCTGGTTCCCCAGTGGGAGCCAACAGTGTTCCTGGCTGTGCAGCCCACCCCAGGGAAGGGTGGATGGAGGCTGCTGGAAGGAAGGTGAGCAAGCAAGATGGCTGCTTCTTGCCACTGATATGGCTGGGAGGGCTGCCTGTCATGCAACCCCACCCCTCTCCTCCAATCAGCAGTGAGGGGTGGGGTCGTCGACAGCCCTCTCCGCCAATCAGTGCTGGGGGGTGAGGCCACCATAGTTCCTGGTCAGTCAGAGGCATAGGGGGACCCAGCCATGATAAGCCCTTGAAAATGGCAACTGGCTCCTTAATCTGCCCACAGAATCAGTAAGCTGCCTCCTTGAGTTGGGTAGACCCCTACCTATAGAAGACACGTCAAGTACTGCCAGTTTCCTTCTGCATCAGTTTCTGTAGTAAGCCTCCATTGTCAGGTGGCTTAGGCCCTGGGAGATGTTATATTTATTGTCCAGTTAATGTGTCTGCAGTGTAAGCCTTTTAAAAGTGCCAGAATGGAGAGATCCTTGCCCTCCAGCTTGCATCGGGAGTGCGTTAGCTCCCCATGCCCTGGCAATTTAAAAAGCCTTGCTCTTCAGCTTGCATGTAGGGAAAGGCTGGAAAGGTGCCAGCTTTTGGGGAATCCTGCCATTGGGATTGGATAGGCAGTAGTAGCATCTGGGTTTGAGGAACAGTCTCCCTGTGGCCAATACCTGGGTTTGGGCAGGGGCTAGTTCTGGGCCTAAGTGTGTTGAGTACTCCAGTGCTGTAGTTCTTTTCCAGCTACTAGTGACAAATGGTTTGGGTAAAAAGCATATTAAGTTCACTTGTAAATAGTGCAGAAAATATTGTTGGGCCAGTCTAGAATGCAGGCAGAAATCAACACTCCTGCTTTAATTCTTGACTGCCTCCTAAAGGTTTGACGGATTGTTGAAGGTACTACATAGTTTTCCAAATTCCAATGACAATAACATTAGCTAGGTGTAACTTCACAAAATTGTATGTGTTACTCCCTGGCAGCAGTGGCGGCCTTAGGGGAGGGCAAACCGGGCAACTGCCCAGGGCCCCACACTTTAGGAGGCCCCAGAATTTTGCAACAGATGTTCAACTTGCTTATAGGTTATCAAAATTAAGCTTCCAAGGGGTCCCAAATGACTTTCTTGCCCAGGGCCCCAACGTCCCTAAGGCCACCTTCCTTGGGAGGAATCCTTTTTTTTTTTTCTCAGCAGTATTTATACAAGAACTAGCAAAAACTAACTCTCAAATTAAGATATCTCCTTCCTCATCAAGTCTCCCTCCCAATTTTTAAGTCACCATTTTATGTTGTAAATCATTCCAAATGTCAGACTCAGAATCTTGGTCTCGCAAGTCCGTGCCACCATTAGTTGTACAGTATAAATGTTATTTCTTTTTGTTAACAAGCGCAAAGTGGTGTTTAACAAATCATCTCATCTCAAACTCTCACACAATCCATGCCTTCACACAGATGCATTTAAAAAAGAAGAGGTTAAATTCCACAAGGTAGAATTAATCTAGTGTGGGTTTTTTTTCAGATTTATTCTCTCATTGCTACAATCTGAAAGATCCAGACCCCACATAGCCTTTTCTGAGAGTGCTGTCTCAAGATTGCTAGAAGGAATGAGATGGGATGCTTTCTAAACCAGTTATTCTTCATAGTTTAATCAGGCAGGCACTTACTGTCAGTCAGGCACATACTTATTACTGGGAGGTGTTGCATTATCTTTAAAGTCGCTATTCATAGTAGTGAGCAATTCACTCAAGAGTGTTTGCAGGATTAAGCCTCTAAGATTGTAACTTCTCCAAGACAGGGGCTTATAGCATATCTTTATTTGACTTATGTCCATCTTTGGTTAATATGTCTTGTTTACATTTCAATAATTATTAGTTTTTCCATCAGTTTATTTTCTAGCAGGCTGGAAATAATTGTTTTGGCTCCATGAATCTGTGTAAATAGTGCAGAAGTACTTTTCCCATCCAGGGCATAAAAATGCAATAGTAGCCAGCAGTATCAGGAACTAGTCAGTCCTGGGGATAAATTTATTAATCCCTTCACTGCTGGTTTTATACAGCACCTGTTCTGTTGCTAGTTTTCATGGAATAGTGGCAAGTGCCTGGTACATTTAGCAGCAATCAGCAAGTTAAGGGCTGGTGGATGTGATGTGGGTGGGATTTGGGCCTGAGGAGTGGATGGAAGGCTTCTGTGTTTGGGTTGACTAGAGGCTTGGGAAGGCCTTTGAAGGTGCTTATAAGCAGGGATCCTGATTTAAAAAAAAAAAAAAAAATCCCCGATTTTTGGATTAAAAAAGTAACAAAAAAAATTTCTGTGATTAAAATGAAACACCACATATATCTATGTGGACATCTATATCTATATATGTGGCATTTCATTTTAATCACAGACAAATAGATTTTGGGTTACTTTTTTAATCCAAAAATTGGGGACTTTTTTTCTTATCAGAGAAAACCAGGATCCCTGCTTATAAGGAACTTTACTTACCAAAATACTTTCTGGAAGGCTAACACCAGATCACTTGATACCTCCTCCAGCTCTGTTTTTCTGTGGTTCTGCAATGCTGTAAAAAAAATCTAAGAGAATTCAGATCAAATCTTTGCCAGTAAGAGATTTATTTATCAGATATTTTCCATTCTGTAGCACCTGCTTGAGCAGCTGAGGAACACATATGATGCCATCTGATCCATGGGGTCCCTAGATGGGGATCCCTTTCCAGGATCTTGGTTTATAGTAGCCTTATTAGTCATTAGGTATGACTAACTACAGAGAAAGCAGCAGAAGGAAAGTTATTACTGTTGTTCTGGGTATAATCACTTTTAATGACTAGAGGTGGTTAGAGGGGTGAGCAACCAAGGACAGTTGCCTGGAGAGGGGAACTCCAGATTAAGTTGGTGTAAGACATGCAATACAAGTAGGAAGCAGGAAAGTCTCATAGGTGGGCCAGGCCTCATTCTTTGTGTGGGCCCTCATCACTCAAATGCCAGGTCTGCTAATGACTTGAGTATCAATGTATTGGAGCTGTGCACATATGCCTAGTCAAGTGAACAAGTGGATGAAACATTAAACATAACCAGACTTGCAATGTCTTATTATTCATGAGCCTTACACTTGCAGATCTGATCTCAGTATGGTGTTTCCCAAAAGAGTTTGTGCACCAGAGGTTCAGGAAAGTCAGAGAAGTCTCAACTAGTTACCATATTTACTTGAATCCAAAATGAGGGTTTTTTCCCCTCATTTTGAGGAAGGGGTGAGGAAGGGGGGTGGCATATCAGATTCATATACCAGCCTAGGATGGCAGTGGCTCAGCTCCAGCTTCAGCTCTAGTCTTGGGACCAAAGTCAGAGCTCGGGTTCTAGCTGTCCTGGGCCAGGGTGCCTCATGTGGCTCATGCAGTCGAGGTAGGGGCTTGCAGCCTGTGAGAGCGTAAGGGAGACCATGTGGCAAGAGAGGGGTGGATGAGGGAGACCCCATAGCTTCCCCCTGCCTTCTCAGTTTACC